GGGGTAGTGGATATTCTTGACCGCCACTACACGGCATAGAACAGATTACATAAAATAATTTAATAATGCCAATATCTTGATGTTACATTTAAAACTTACAGCCTATATACGTCCCACTACTGGGCATAGGCCTCCCCTTATTTCTGAGAAGGTTTTTTAAGACAAGAAAATGTCGATGCGTGTGCGAACTTCACATGTATTCGAAATATATTTTTTTCTTATTTCTCAGACATGCAGGTTTCCTCACGAAGTTTTCCTTCATCGCTGAGCACGTGGTAAATCAGCACTTAAAATTGCAATTAACAATTCCATTTGTGCCGGCGGGGATTGAACCCGGGTACCTTAATGTAATAATATTTAATTATATCTGCAAAAATTAAAAATCTAATAAATCATAAAGCTCAGTAATATATTTTTATTACAAAAATTCTGAGCTTTTTCTGTGATTCTAATTCATAAAGCATACATATTATAACTAAAATGTAGTAGTGACGTAATATAACTCACTATAAATTATTTTATTTCACGATGAAGTTTTCATTTTGTTTGTTGTTAGCCGTAACATACACATTGTGTTAGTGTGTGTAGGCTGCGGGCGCTCGGGAGTGGCGCTGCCGAGGCTTACTCACACTAACACAATGTGTATGTGCACGGCTAACAACAACCAATGCCAAAACTTCATCGTGAAATAGAATAACTTATACCCCATGTCATACCATGTGCGTCGTGAGAAGCGACAATAAGAAATGAAACGGAAGATGGGCGGCAGTATCCACCTAGTAACAACTCGAAAAACCGCGTCCCAAGCGTAGCAACTATGACAAACATCCCCCTTATAAGGCTATCTATGGGGAGGCCTATGTTCAACAGTGGCGTTTCAATAGGTTGAAAGTAATGAATAAATGAATATAAAATGAGTTAATATTATGTGAATCATTGATCTCAGAGCAGATTCGAATTCGAATCGTATACTTAATTTAATGGAGCAATATTTTCATATTATTATTGTCAAATATTTTGTAAGTTTTTGAAATAGTTTACATAAGCACAAGCTGAGTAGCAACTTACTTAATGATGTAATGTTAGAAAACCATTGTTAACGTTCCTTTACTATGTCTGAGCATTCACATCCTAGCGTATTAAGTTTATTTAGAAACAGTTTTGTGTGTCGAAACGCCTCGGAATTTTATTTGTTTGGCAAATGTCGATCATTGTGAAAAATTTTGAGTACTATGTATCGACTTTGTCAACTGTACTCACTTATTTTGACATACCCTTATACATTAACGACCTTTACGCAATAAAATGGTATTAGTGCCAACGACACGAGGGCAATGACGATACAATAAGAGCCGAAAATTAACAATATTTTCGTCATAATAACATTCTTCTACAGAAAGAATTTCTGGTGGTTTTTAACTGCACCACAATACCCGGCTCTGTAATTTTTTTAATTTAATTTAACTAAACAGTGTCCATGCTAGCTTACAGTATGCCCAAAACGCCAGCTTGCTAATTTACAAATTAGAGTTTTAAATAATAAGTATTAATACAAGACACATGGTCAAAAAAGGTCAATTAATTAAAGAATACATGTCCAATATATCAATTAAATTAAAAATACAGGCCAAATAGATTAGATGTCAATTAGATTACATGTCAAATAGATTAAGCAAATGTTATTGACAAATTAACTACATACCTAAGATTAAATTAATATATTACAATATGTCAAAATTGGATGTCAAAAATAGAAGGGCTTTTACCCAAAGCTATCAGCAAATAAGTCAGTCGCGTAACCATAATGTAAATATAGACATTAAAGTTTAAAAGTAACAACATGCTGCTTAATTTCGTATGGCGAGTGACGTGTATCGGAGACTTACTAGTAACGAGACATTCAATCTTAGTACTCAAGGCTGACATCTGCATTTTAATTACTAATCAAAGATAGATTTAGGTGTCTCTGATCTACAAAATTATTTTTCTCTCAGTTGACTGTGAAGCCTTTTGTAATTTCTTATTATGAATACGCTTTTAGTTTTAAAGAAACATTTTTATTTCACGTAACGGCACCAATTAAAATAAATGGTGAGACGAAGTATTGCAGACACTGGCCATGACAACGTATTCTTAACTAATCTACGTACAGCACGTGTAGATAGTGATGCATGGACAACAGGTTTCGCAGCACCTACCACAGCATCACAAAATCATAAATTCATACAAAATTCTAATTGAACAGAAAATCTGAAAGGATAAAAAAGATGTTAAGTTTTTAGTTTAGGATAGATATTTTTTTCTTCTTTTTAAGTACTTACTCCACTATAGATTTAATTGTAAAATAAATTAGTAAAACGCTCTCACAGAATACAAGCGCAAAATAGCAGCTTAATGCTGCTGTGTTTCGTATGGTGAGTGTAGAGAACCGGAGACAAATTTTACTGGAAAAGAGGCATTCTATCTTAGTCTTCACGGGTGAAAACGCATCTACATTTTGATTCGTAATCGAGGATAGATGTAGATATCTATGGGCCACACCAACCACTCACCATCAGGTGGACTGTGTGCTCATTTGTCACCCTTATTCTATGAAAAAATAATTATAGTAATGATATTTTTGATTATTATTTTTATTTTATTTTATAAGTATTTAATACTACACATGATGTTGACATTAATTAAGCACAAATTCTTTTTTCTTAAATGTTTTTTCTAAATGCAAATGCGTTGTCACCCCTGAGAACAAAGATGGAATGCCTCGTTTAAAGTAAAAAGGATCTCCGGTTCTTTTTTACGCTGGTATTCTCTGCGGGCGTGGAACTATACCAGTCGAGCCGACCCAACGTGGCTCTACCACGTTTGTTCTGACTCCCTTTACGGTTCAGATTGGAACACAGCAGTGCAGGCACTGCTATTTGGCGACAGAAATAGGTAAAAAAGTGGTACCTACCTAGATCTTCTTGGCGGTAAAGGAGTCGTACCACCTACGTGATTGCAAGTAACAATATGAGGAAATATAGGTACATACTCTGAAAATAAAATATTTCGAAGATATAACATAACATAAATAACATAACATAAACACTCACGTCTGTCACCCAGAGGTGTAGGCAGAGACTACGGACGTCCATTTGGCACGATCCTGACACACCTCTCTCGCCTCCTCCACATCCATATACCTACGCATACACGCTCGTCGGTTAAGGGTACTCCTAATCTGGTCCATTTTCAATACATCGCCAATCTGGTCGATAAGCTTTGGTCTAGAGCGTCCGTTCCCGACTCTGCCGTTCACTTCTGCAACATAAATTTGGTTTGTCACTCTTTCCTCGTTCATTCTTTCTATTTGACTAAACCACCAAAGCATTCCTTTTTAAATCCTGGTCACAACGTTATCTTGCAAACCACACTCTTTATAGAATATTTTTAGGATATAATATGAAGTATGTTAATACAGAATGGAGAGCAGCACGGCGGATTAATTGATTCATAATTTTCTGTGAATTAAGAGGTCTGTGACGTATAAAGACTGTAACTTTCCTTTTCTACGAATAATATTACACTTAATGTATGTTACCAACAGATATTTTAAAAACCCTATCGTTTACACCAAATAAAAAAAAGCAAATCGGCGACTGGAATAAAAAAATATTTTATGTACATGTACCCCATCCCAATGCGTGTTAGGCGTGTCCCAGTGCGGCGGACTTTTACCGAACCCAGAACACTCTTAGTAATATGTAATATAAGATTAGCCTTAGTAGGCTTTATTTTACTTTTTATGTAGGTATTTAATTTATTAGATTAACTACGCAGGTATATTTTACTCGTATATATTAAGAATATCAAATTAATACTCGATTTCTTATATATTCAACTGTGGACCTGTGAAGGGCCGTAATGATGATGATAATGACTCGATTTTTTAATGTTTATTGATTTTTTTTGTTTTCTAACCGCACTCTCTATCTATTAAATTAGTAATTCTGAATTACCAAAATAATAAATTATGTTACATAAGCACACTTTTACGGTTCGATGTCGTGTTCGTATGTTTTGCACCGTTTAGATGTAGTGATTTTTTCCTGTGAGTGCTAATTATCGATGCGATGTTCATATTTACTTTTACGTCATCTTTTAGATAAAATATAAATGCTGTATATATATCTTTAATTTATTAAGTTTTGTACAACTTTTCTTTAATAAAACATGTAAACTTATTTATTGACAAATTTTGTACATTTTCTGGGATTTTGTTTTAAAAGCGTATACATTGCCCCATAAATGAATTACTAATTATGTGGAGTCTAGTAACTGGTATTACAAGCTTATGTTTGTTCCTAGTGTCTAAAGTATGAACATATTTATTCTTATCAAAGCTATTTCTGTTTTTATGTACAAACATTACATTTTCATAAATATATTGCGATGCCAATGTTAATATTATTATTTATTTAAATTTTTCTCTAAGGGATTCATAACAGTTTAAGTTATAAATCGCCCGTGCGACTCTCTTTTGCAAAACAAATATAGCTTCGACGTCAGTCGCGTAAGTCCATAACAAAATTCCATAAAACATCACACTATAAAAGTAACTAAAATAAACTAATCTAGCTGTCTCAACATTGGTGTAACTTCTAATCTTTCTTACAGCATATGCTGCAGAACTAAATCTACTTGCTAATGTAGATATAGGGCCCCTTTGAAGCTCACTATGACAGAGATTATTCAAAATTATATTAAAGTCTACATAAACTGTATTTACAAATGCCTTCTTGATGTTTTAAGTAGTATAACTAACTTTGAACGAGTACAGAAGTTGTTTTTATATTGTTTAGAAAAAACAAATGTGACGTATCTTCGGTAAATTAAAGCAAATAATAAAATAATACTACAAAATTTCTACTGGTACGAGTACCGTGGGACTACTATGATGAACTTAAACGAGCCACCGGGTCAGATCCGCAAAGTGCAACATTTCTCAACACCAGCAACTTGCAGAGAGTGGTAAGACGAGGTCAGTAACAGCCGAGTTTTACTGTTCGGCGCACGTGGTTCTGAGCAAACGCTGAACGTAGAATTACTGTATTTCTTGAATATATTGTGTCATCTGGATTTATCGAGCAAAAAGGCGGGAAAGGTATTTTTTTTTTATTTAAAGCTATCAATTTTATTTATTTCTTTTTAATTTATATTCAGTTACATGTAAAACAAATTTCGAAATTAGAAAGTATCGGTCTCAGACCAATAAAGGAATATCGGTGGTAAAAATTTATGGGGATTACATTAACGCAATTGATCGTTTTTTTTTTTTATATAAATGGGTTAGTAGTACGTAAAAGGTCTTCTGTAAGCGATGACGAAATCTCTTTTAGTAATTATAGAGAAGCTGTATCTTTCTTTGTTCGACTGATTTTGGTGGTTACTTAAGAACCTGCTTGGAGCTTATATTGCAACATTATGTGAGAAAAATATTAGGATATGTTACGAAACGTTAATTATAAAAAAAAATTAAAGAGAGCTCATGCATTCTATAGCTTTTATAAAAGGTTTAGTTTAATTGAAAATTATGAAAAATTTTGTTCTACCCTCATTACGAAATTAGGGAATTATTGAAATTGATATAAAATAAAAATAATCTTAATATTATAAATAGCTCTTTTTACTGGTAACGAAGTATTCCTTCTTAGGCTTCAGATTGCAGTATGAACTGACATAAGTCTGCATTTTCATTCTTTATCGAGAATGGGATGATGTATGTGTTTAAGGGCCCCAGCATTTACTTACCATCGGGTGGATTGCGTACTCGTTTGTCACCATTTCTTCTATAAAAAATATCATTGTGTTTTCTATTAAGCGATCGCGTGATCTACGGGTCATAGGACTCTCCCTATCATGCCCAGGGTTCGAATCCCAGCCGGAGTAGGGTTGCCAATATTTTTATCCTGATCTCTCTCCGATCGTGTTTGATTGCTATGCCATCGGACTATGAGAGTTAGGGAATAGACTGCTATTGTGTTTGTGCCCACACTTCTTCTATGTATAATCTTACTCTTTGCAAATAGTTTGCTTCCGTTGCGATTGCTCGCTATGACCGAAATCCGATTTATATTATTATAAGTATAAAGCAAAAAAAAAACATTAAACATTGTATATTATAATTCAAAGTAATTTTATTTTTTTAATTTTGTTGCTTTGAGCTTTTATAAAACCTAAACGCCTAAAACAAAACCAGTTTTTGTTAAAAAATAGTTTCGCCTACTTTTATTATATACTATATATATATTCGCATAAACATGGTACATGCATAATTTTACAATATCATATTATGAATAAAAAATTATTACTTGCCAAAGTTCTAAAATATAAAAAAATCATATTATAATAATAATTTTTAGATTAAAAAGAACTCTCTCTCACGACTCTTATTTCAGGATCTTATATATTTATATCATAATATAAACATTTTGTTAATAGTCAGTTCCTCTGTTTAGTTTTAAATCTGCCAATATTAGTTTATTCCTTTATGTCATGCATACATGATAGCAGTTTGTTATACTATATCCTCATCGACATAGCATAGCAGATCATGTGATAGAATGCCGTTTTAGCTACGCAATCTACGACGATTCTATCACATTCTCGTGTTCTGCTGGCAGACGTCGCTCACTATTTTAAATGTTTTAAAAGATTTATTAAAAAAAATACATTGCTGACAAAGTTAGTAGGTAAAAAGCCTTAAATACAGGCTTATAGTTACAGGTCTCATGCCATCTAGTTCCAGTCAAGACTCAGACACATTTTTGTCTAGTAAACACCCTTTCCCAGTCAGAACTATTACCTTTTTTTTTCAATATAGATTATGAATAATACTTATCGAAAGTCACTCTTTTGTTTAAGCGGCGGGACTTATTTTTTTTAATTAATAACAGCTTACAATCATGTATGTTACACAAATTAACAACACAACAAATTAGAAATAGCTTGGTAGCGATCACCTCATTTCCAGGGGTTATTATCATCCATAAATTCCTTAATATTATAATGACCTTTTTCATACAAACTTAGTTTAATAAAGTTTTTGAACTTTTTTTCTGGAATTTTGTTGTAAAAGCGTATACATCACCCCAAGAATTAATCACTGACTCGATGGAGTCGAGTAACTGGTACTACTAGCTTGTGTCTGTTCCTAGTATTTACAGAATGAATATCACTTATTTTTGTAAAACTACTTTTATTTTTGTGTACATACATTAGATTTTCATAAATGTATAGAGAGGCCAAAGTTAATATATTAATTTCCTTAAATTTTTGTCGCAGCGACTCTTTAGGCTTTAAATCATGAATTGCTCTTATAGCCCTCTTCTTTAAAACAAATATATCTTCAGTGTCAGCTGCGTGTCCCCATAGCAAACTACCATACGACATTAAGCTATGGAAATAGCTAAAGTAAACTAGTCTAGCTGTTTCAACACTGGTTAGACGTCTAATCTTTTTTACAGCATAGCAGAACTAAGTCTGCTTGCTAGTTTTGATATATGGGGGCGCGTTTTGATATGGGGGGCGTTTTGCGCTATGATTATATGACCTTTCATGGTAAAGTTCATATAACCTATGCCTGCTCTTATGGACTCCTACTGTCGCCCATTCATTGAATGACTTCCGACTGTTCAAGGAGAATGTTTTAGAAGTAAAAGGATTATTAAATTCATTGCAAATATGGTTAAATAATGTTCCATACAAAAAATTAGGATCATTTTGGTATGAAATTGATGGAAGTTTTATCACTATGTTATTTCTAAATTTCTCCAAGCGACGTGCATTTACTGGAACAAACACAACTTTATCATCTACTTGCTTTTTGTGAACATAAGGTAACGAAACTACTTGTCTACAGTGATCAGAACTTAATTTTTGAATTATACATTTATGCAACGGCTTCACATTTGTAAAAATGTTATCTTTACATGTTGCACTAGATTAAGCAATACGCGTTGGCTCTATAAATAAATTAAAAAGAGAGATTAAAATATATAGATAAAATAAAGAGATTTAAATAATGGTGAACATATTCTAAAGCTTTTGGCATATCAAAGAATATTGCGGGTACATTTTCTTCAACATCAATGGCGTTTATGATTATTTTAATCAGGTTAAAGCATGTTTTTTATTAAATTTTTTTATTAAATTACATTTATTAAAATAGTGAATAAGTCTTTTCTGCACACGTTTTTCAAAAACCTTTGAGAGCACAGAAACAATTGTAAACGGTGACAATTGTAAAGATCTTGTTTATGAAATTCAAAAGAGACTTGTTCCAATATTTAATTGGTTTATTTATCGAATATTTAAAAATTTAATAATAAAAAATATAATATTCTTGTAGTTTAAATGGCAATATTTACACTGTAAGAATACTATTGTACTCGTCGAGCACAATATTATACGAGTAATATACCAGGTTTGGAACAAGTACGGCAGAACGAGTACCTATGTGTGTTAGGGTTTACGTTTAGCATTTTAAAATATATAAATATAATAATAAATACTAGTGATCGCCTAGATGTCGTAATCGAAACGTTAAACTTTTAGGTTTGTATTCTAAACAAACTAATTTCGACAAAACATAAACGCTTTTTTGCCTTGGCATACGCTCCTCACATAATTAAAAAAGGCAGGTTTGAAATTACACAAATTTCACAATTTATTTAGTAGCGACTATTTGACCACAGACTATTAAGTGTTTGACATTGGTCTTAGAATAATAATATATATAATATTATGCTAGTAACTGACAGTAAGAAATAAAACGTATTATATTCTTTGGTATGAACGTCAATAAACGACATAATTTTGTCCAAACGGCAATTATGTATTTGACATTGAAGTATGATTGTAAACAATGAATATAAACATATTTTATTTTATTTTATGAATTTGTAAAGAATATTATAAATAAATTTTAGCTTCCTACAATCCTACACATAATTTTTAATTAAGTATGACAAATGTCACACTTCTCGATGCGCTCAATATCTTAAAAAGGGGTACTGATTTTTCCCTTCACGCATTAATTTAAGGATAACACAAAAACATTATGTACATAATATAATTTTCTCCTGTGGATATTACCTACCATACCATTTTACTGGCGTAGGACCGCACTCTCACAGAATACCTACCTGTTTCTGCTGTGGCTAATGCTGCTGTGTTTCGTATGGTGAGTGTAGAGAACCTGAGACCCGTTTTACTAGAAACGAGACATTCTATCGTAGTCCTCAGGTGTAACAACGCATCGACGATAAATGTACATGTCTTTGCGCTATAGCATCCACTTACCATTAGGTGGACTGTGTGCTCGTTTGTTACCCTTATTATATAAAAATAAAAAAATATGATAGTTATGTGTAGTACAAGTTATTGCTGTGTAAATCCGGAAGATCATTTCAACAAAATATATGAACCTCCATTTATAATTATGTTGTTTTTTAGGAAAACATCTCCTTAAATCTCGTATAATCCTTTATCGTTACATATTATCGCATCGTATGTTCTTTTTTTTCTATATGTCACGCATCTTTGTATTTTTAAGTAAATTGAACTTAGATTATTGATAAGTCAGAACGTGGGATGACTTATTAATAATCTAAGTAAATTGAATTTCTTTGAAATAAAAAAATTAAATAACAAAGGCCAGCTCCGATGCGTGACTGGAGTTTATTCCTGTAAAACGATTGTCTTAAAATATATACAATTGGCAAAGGAAGTAAATGAACCCCAATATTTATTTAAATTGATTTTATAAAATATATGACATAAATTATATTACATAAGCATATGTATCTTATATTATATTATTAATTTCGCGCTGGGATATGCGAGAATGTTGCGCAGAGGAAAACCATAACTTCACTTTCTGTTAACCCTTGATTTTCTAACCATTTATTTTTCCTATCGTACGCTATATCTGAAACGATTCTTATGGAGTAAATTCCAATAAACTATTAACTTTGATATTTTGTTATAAACTATTAACTTTGATGTCTGATATTTTGATATCCTTGGTATAGAAGTCTGTTGCACGAAAACCGATAATTTTTCTAAAGGCGTCCTTTGTTATTTCCTCCAATTTGAAATTTT